TACAGAGTAGACCATTGTCTCCAGGGGAATTGATCTCTGCCACATGAAGAGCAGTCATAATTCTGAGTGATCTCCACCTCTCACGTGGAGATTGGGGAAAGTGGTTGCCCAGGAGGAAATGGCTGCTTTGGAGGGTGGAGGGTATGGCATTGTGCCTGTCTGAGGTCCCACCCCTCCTCAAACCCCACCATATCCAGGCACAAACCCTCAAATCCCCAGGAATCCCCCAACCTGGAGTTGGCAACCCTATCTCCTTCCCACCCAGCCATCAGCCTGCAGTTATCTGTCCCCCGACCCCAGCTTCCTATCTCCTACCCCCTCCCTTCTGGAGAGCAGTCGTAATTGTGGCAGCTTATTCTGTGCGAGAAGTGTCCAGGCTGGCAGTGAGGGGGGGAGAAGAGTGGACCCAGCACCAAGTCAGTGCCATGCAAGTACACTTGAGTGGTGGTTGATGGGCCAATGGTTGATGGAGCGCACTGCACAGCCAGTAGGAGAGCTGGAAATGGCCAAGATGTAAGGGAATGATATGTATAGAGAAAAATATATAAGGATTCCTTCGTTTACTTTGTTTGCTGTATCAGCTTATTGTCAAGGTGGCCCGTCGCCGAAAACTTTGGCACACATGCCAGTCATCTTCTCCCCTCGCCTCAAGTGGACATGTACCTTTTCTCAGATCCCTGACCTGCTTTTCTGTCTGCTGAGAGGTTTAGCACAAACTCATTGCCCTGATTTGCAAAGTCAGGCCTGGCTTAGCCCCATGTGTGGCCCCATCTGTCTGTGCCCTGCGACTTTAACCATGACTTTGGCATCTGAAAGTTTCCAGCACCCTGAATTGATTCTGCCCTTTGTCCCTCACAGCCTCCTTCTTGCACATGATAAGGAAATATTGCGCCCCCTCCTCGCATCTACAGCCAAACGAGTTGTCTGCAACCGCTGCTCATGGGGGGGGGGTGGCTGCGAGACTCCGCTCCAGCTGGGCGGGGAGGGAGAGGCAGAAAGCTTGGCCGATGAAAGGGGCCTCCCAGCTCGGCTTCGCTTTCTCTTTCCCCTGTAAGCAGCCTGTTGAAGGAGGGAGCGAGGATTTGCCAGGAGTTGTGTAGCTTCATCTCCGTCCCATGAAAGGACGTCTCCCAATGAAGGGGGGAGGGGGGACTGGGTTGGGATCCGAGAGGAGAGGGGCGATGGCCCTGCTTGTCTGCGTGGCACTGGGAATGGCAAAACATTTCATGGTGGGGGCGGGGGGGGGGGAGAGCTCCATGTGCTTGGCAGGAGGACTTAACAGCGGGGTCCTGCCTGCGTTGACTTGCAAGCAAGTGCTGGTGAGTGGCTGGCGAGGAAGTGTGCGTAGGATCGCAGCCTCGGCCAGCATGCCTTTTTTCCTCTGTGGTCCCATGTTTCTGTCCTTTGAATTCCACCCCAGCCCCAGCTTTCTTTCCTTTTTATTCCACTCTGGTCCCAGTTTTCTGCCGTCTCACTCTGCTCCCCCCTTTCTCCCAGTTGGGCTCCTTACCCTCTGCCCACCAGAGCATACGTCCTGTCTGTCGGCTTCCACCACACTGAGGCTGACACAGTGGCTGCCGGTTCTGTGGGCGGGACTCAGGGGACGCAGCCAGCCAATGCAGCCAGGGGATTGGCAGACCGTCATAGTGGCAGCTGAGGGGGCCAAAGGCTGTGGGAGCATGTGGAACGTTGAGGCAAGAGGGACATGAAAACTCTTATATATATAAGAAGAGATGTAACCAATAACCATTATTTATGTAAACTCAGTAATGTAATTGCATATTATGTATTACGGATTCCACTGACAAAGCCTGTTGGCAAAATGCATAGGGAATTTTCGGGATTTTAACTGAGTAATAAAAATATTTTAACCTTATTTTGCACCATCGGCTGTGGCCTTATTTTTTATCTCCTGATTCAGTATAAGGCAGCTTGTGAGTTCTATAAAGTTCCTTTGCTCAGCCTGCGCTGAAGCTCTCTTTAACTGCATTGTAAACACTAGTGATTGCAAGAGTCAGTGGGACAGATACAAATTGCACATCCCAGGAAACAGTGAGGGCTTGAGATTTTCCCACACTGCTACATTTGAAAAAGTAGAAAAGAGTTGCAAATAACAGCATTAATCCAAAGCAAAATACAAGAACAAAAGCCAAATCATACCTTTTACGAAAACCAACTAAAATAACACAAAACAGTATACAAGCTTTCAAGTTTTCCAGAACACTTCATCAGGCTGGATGAACGGGAGGGGACCACAGCTTTCAGGCCATGGTGTTTCTTTGTGCATTCTGTAGTGTGTCTGTAGGATGCTTAGCTGGTTTAAATGCCTAATCCTGACAAGATGGAAGTGATGCTGGTGATCTGAAGGTCTGACTCAAGATTTAATTTGTCACCCATTCTGGATGGAGATGCACTCCCCTTGAAGGCACAGGCCTGTAGTTTGGCAGTGCTCTTGGACCCAGGCCTACTGCTGGATAAGTAAGCGGTGTCTTTTACCAGCTTTGACTGCTTAGCCAGCTGCGGCCTTTCTTGGACAGAAAAGATCTGGCCACTGCTGTGCACACCCTGGTTACATCCAGATTAGATTACTGTGATTCACTCTGTTATAAGAACATAAGAGACGCCAATGTTGGATCAGGCCAAAGGCCCATCCAGTCCAACACTCTGTGTCACACAGTGGCCAGAAATACCAGTGCCATCAGGAGGTCCAGCAGTGGGGCCAGGACATTAGAAGCCCTCCCACTGTTGACCCCCCCCCCAAGCACCAAGAAGACAGAGCATCACTTGCCCCAGAGCCCCTAGCTATACCTTGTGGCTAATAGCCACTGATGGACCTCTGCTCCATATGCTTATCTAATTCCCTTTTGAAGCCGTCCATGCTTGTAGCTCCCACCACTTCCTGTGGCAGTGAATTCCATGTGTTAATCACTCTTTGGGTGAAGAAGTACTTCCTTTTATCCGTTCTAACCCGACCGCTCTGCAGTTTCATGGAGTGCCCACGAGTTCTTGTATTGTGAGAAAGGGAGAAAAGTACCTCTTTCTTTACCTGCTCTTTCCCATGCATAATCTTATAAACCTCGATCATGTCACCCCTCAGTCGTCTTTTCTCCAAGCTAAAGAGCCCTAAGTGCTTTAACCTTTCCTCATAGGGAAAGTGTTCCAACCCTTTTATCATTCTAGTTGCCCTTTTCTGCACTTTTTCCAAAGCTATAATATCCTTTTTAAGGTGTGGTGACCAGAACTGCACACAGTATTCCAAATGAGGTCGCATCATTGATTTATATAGGGGCATTATGATATTGTGCTTGTGCTGCCCTTGAAAAGTATTCCAAAACTTCATTTGGTACAGAATGCTGCAGCCAGGTTGTTGACTGGAATGGATCATAGGGATCATACCACTCTAGCCTTGACCCATGTACCTTGATTCCCAATCTGTTTCTGGGCACAGTTCAAGGTGTTGAGCTTTAAAGCCCTACATGGCTTGGGAGTCACATACCTGAATGACCACCTACTCCCTTATGAACTATCTGACCACTGCAGTCTTCTTCCAAGGCCCTGCTTTGGGTGCCCTAGCCTTCAGAGATCAGGCGGGTTGAAACCTAGGAGAGGGCCTTCTCAGTTGTGGCACCAAAACTCTAGAACTCTCTCTTCAGAGTTATTCACCTGTTTCATTCTGCTGCCATCCTCCACCAGAAGACTTTTTGTTTCGTCTGGCATTCCCTCCATGATCCCTCCATACTACCCTGTTTTTAATTGTTGTTTTTATGTATGTGTATTTTATTACCTTGTATGTGTCTTTTAACTTGGTTTTATTTGAATATGTTTTGATTTCCTTCTGATTGTTTTTAAGATGTTTCTCTATTATGTATGCTTTTAATCTGTGCCTTGGTGGTTCTGATAAGGGCAGAAAGGCTAGGTATAAATTTGTAAATAAAGTAATAATAAATAAAATGGGCACTGCAAGTGGCAAGCTGGTATCAGATTGCACACCTAGCATTCTGGGGAAAAGAAACAAAAAATGGAAGTAGCCCATTAAAAAATACAAAAATGAGCAGTTTGTCAAATGTGTGTCTAACTCTAGTCAGGACACTTTGATCTCTTTAAAAGCTGAGAGCAGTGGAAGATCATAGTAGTACTTGTATTAACAATGGTGGGAATTTATTCTACTTGGTATATAAGGTAGAAAGTCGATAGAAGCCAAATTTGGGCATATAGTGCGTTGCATTGTGAGGAAAATCTATAAGCAAAATTGCTTTTCCAGGTTTGTTTTTCCCTGGCTGGTAAACTCCTATTATGAATTCCTCCATTAGGTAATCTCCAAGTAGAAAGAAGTTGCAATTACTAATGTTGATCCAAAACAAAAACAAAAGACATGCAATGCCTTTTATTAAGACCAACAGAAATGAAAATGTGAGACATTTGACCAGCTGCTGTATTTTGGCTTTTCACTAGAATGCTTCCATTATTGTTGTTCCCAGCATGCCATGGTTCAATCTGAGATCAGCAAGCCTCAACCTGTGCCCACTGAAGTGAGTCAGGCTTCCTACAGGCTTTGTCCAGTGACTAGAGATGAGGAGTGATGCATTTATTTACACATTTGTACATGTGTGTGCACAGTGAGCGCTTACACATAAAGAAGCATGAGCTATAATGTGATTTTAATTTCAATCTTGCCTCTCTTAATCTCAGTTTAGTAAAAAAAATTAACGTAGCTGGCTGGGTTTTTTTGTAAGCTTCTCTTTGATTGGCTTCTCAGTTCCTGAAGAACATATATTACATATTCTCCTACATTCTCAAGATACATTTGATACTTCTTGAAAAACACTTTATCATTATTGAAGCTATTTTCATCCAAATCAAGTTGAGACACATGGGAACAATTGATCAGCATGAGTGCCTTTCATATGAGATGCCCATGTCCTTCACTTTGAAGTGGGTAACGAAATCTCCCATTTTCTCTTGGAATAGTTTTTTTTACTGTATCCATCCTATACCCACAGTACAAGACCATGGGATCCACTCAACGATATGATACAGTTCGAAAAAGACGGTGCCATTCAGACAAAAGTTAGACATCGGACACCAATGGTATGTTCTGGTGAAATTTTGATCAAATACAGTACAATAGGAAGCTGGAAGAATGCAAATTTCCTTCACAATTTGATTTTTAAAAAAAAAGCTTTTAGTCTGTTACCTTGGAAATAGTGCATTGTTAATTGCAGCTTTCCCTTAGATGACAAACAGGGAAGGTATATCATGAAACAGAATCAGCTTAATTCCTCTTTAAAAAATCTGAGTGTATATCACAGTTTTGTTCTTAATCCCTCAAAGTAACTTCTTGTAGTCTTGGGATGTCAATTCACTTGACTCGCTGGTACTTCAAAGAGGAAAGGGTATTGCATTGTGTATCTGACAAGCAACTGTTCTACCACAGCTAGTGTGGTGTAGTGGTTAGACTGTCAAGCTAAGATCTGGGAGACTCAGTATCAAATTCCCACTCTGCTGTGGACGCTTGCTGAGTTACCTCGGGCCAGTCACACACTCTCAGCCTTACTTGCTTCACAGAGTTGTTGTGCGTATACAACATGGGGGATGACAATGTAAGCCACCTTGGGAGCCCCACTGGGAAGAGTGGTAGGGTATAAATGAAGTAAGTAAATAATCTTCTGAGCTCAGAAGTGAGATAAGTATTATGAATTTCAGGTTAGTGTTGCGAAAATTAAGAGGTCTGCTACGTCAAAGAAGGGAGAGTGTGGCTTCTCTTCACCAGAACCTGATAATCAGGACTCCTCTGGAAGTGAAGGTATGTAGTGCTATATTTGCTTTCTTGGGTATGTTTAATAGTAATGTGAATACTTAACACTGATGTATTTATTTTCTTCTACCTTAGACTGATATTGTAATATAACAAATTTATTTTACACTGTCTTGACCTGTAACAGAAAATACAGACATTACTGTGATTTTTAATGAATCAACATACTGGTTTTTAAAACTTACTTTATATACTCTGAATTACTTTCAAAGCACAACTGAAGCACAGTACAAGAATCCGGAAGAAAATGGTAGACCTTGGAGAACTGCAAAGTGCCATTGAATCTATACGGGAGACTCAGGAAGAAATTAGAAGGTAGTAGGACTCTCATATCTGATTTTCTTTTTTTAAAAAAGGTGCCCTGTTGAATTTAAACCACTTCCTGCTTATTTGGGGTTGGGGACTAAATATTTTATACCAAATTGTTCCCTTAAGTCATCGAAGTGTGAATGCCTTCTCGCTGAGACATGAGCACTTGCTAAGTAGCATGCAGAATCACCCGCTCTTTCATGTTGCATTTGGAGATTGAGCCAGGGCTGCATTGTGTCTTCATGCTTCTTTTTATCAATAGTGCTGCAGCCCAGTGAGAAGAATAAACTGTTGATTTCTTAGGGTTCCTGTTTCAGAAGTTTTACTGTATGTCCTGGATTGATATGATTCTTCTCTTTATCCCTTTCTGTGCTTGTTTAAAAGCAAAGGAACATTTTACTAGCAGAATACATATATACATACATACATATGTATATATGTGTGTGTGTATTCTCATCTGTTATGCACTCCAGGTTCTTAATCTATGGTAAGTGAACAGTATGACAGGCATGCATGTCCCACATTGCATAATCTTTGGATAACTGGCATTTTTTATTTTCACTGTAGTGGAGTTTCTAGCAGTTTGAAAGAGAGATTATGTAACTTCTGTGGGGAAATCTGTTTCTTAAGAGATTTTTGTCTCCTACCTTTTCACTATATATGCCATCAAGGCAGCTTACAAAATCCATCAGAACTACAGTTCTGTGTGCACACTATTATTTCATTGGAGTACAAACATTTTAGTGTCACCTTCCCAGTCCTCAGCATCTTCCATTCATTGCTGCTTGGGTGGCTGTGTGGATACTTATTTCCACCAAAAGGGGGCTCACTCTCCCCCAACAGCTTTTCCTACATAGTCAGTAGACTTCCTGGGTTTGTAGAAAAATCCAAAAACTAAAAAAATCCCTTCAGGGATGGCTAAGTTCCCCCCCAAACCTTTGGAAATGGCCCCTGCAGGGATCTGCTTCAGGCATCAACGGTAAGAGATTAGAATGTTGGGGGGGGTGTTTCTAACTGGCTTCGTCAGTAAAAGGGTGAGGGAAGGGCCCTTTCCAGGCCTATTTCGGCCTTTCAGGGAGGGAGGGAGCCTTGGGGCCAGGCCTCACAAGAGTTGCCAGTGCCAGGCTGGGGGATTTCTAGAGATTTTCTGGTGGACTCTAAGGAGGGCTGGGTTTGGGAAGGGAGAGGCCTCAGCTGGGTATAATGCCATAGAGTCCACCCTCCAAAGCAGCCATTTTCTGCAGGGAGACAGACCTCTGCTGTCCAGAGTCCAGTTGTAATTCTGGGGGGGTCTCCAGGTCCCGTTTGGAGGTTTTACAAAATTGCAACAATTTGTCCAACATTCTCACTTATACAATATTGTAAAAATGTCCACATAGTCCAACATATATTTAAAGGAGGTGTCAGTTTCTCAAAGAGGCATGTAAGGGATTTGGAGGTTGGCAACTGTAGGCCTGTCAGTAGTCTAGGGTTGCCAAGTGATGAAGTGGGGAGGCAGAAAAACAAAGAGAAAGATGACAGGTCAGAAAGAGAGAGGAAGTCACATGCATGGAGGAGTAATAGAGAATAAGAAAAGGGGGGCAGAGGGAAGAAATAGTGTGAGAGAGGTAGGGGATGAGGAGAGGAAGCAAAGGTGTGATGAATAAGATAACCATCCCGCAAGTTTCTTGCAGGTCTCCACTTGTCTATATACTAATAGCCAAGGCGCCCCCTATGTGTGGATATCTAAATCCGCACATCGGGGGCACCTAGGGGGCAAAGAGATTGTTCTGCACATTTGGGGCAGTCCCTAGATGTGCAGAAAAATCTGGAATCTATAAAAAACTATAGGGGAGATACTTAAATCCCCCCAAAAGTAAAAGAGTGTTCCCTGTGCATGCACAGGAAACGCTCTGAGTACTGCCTTGCCACCGCCGCTTGGCAGGCCGATGGCTGTGAGCTGCTCAGTCGTTGCCGCCACAGCTGCCGTCGCTGGGGGGGGGAGAAAGCTTGGCAGGCCGATTAGGCCTCGCGACCGCTGCTAGGAGAGGGAGAAGGCTTGGCGGGCCGAACTCAGGCCTCACCGCTGTTGCCCTGAGAGCAGGGGAGGTTTGGCGGGCCTGGCGGCTCAGAGCCATGTGGGCCTTGCTACCATTGCCGTGGGGGGTGGGGGAAGTTTGGCAGGCTCGGCAGCTCGGAGCCGCACGGGCCTCAACATCAGGACCAGGCGGACAGGGGAGAAGGCTTACCTGCGGCGGCTTCCTCTTCTGCATGGAGCTCCCCCCCCCACGAGTATCACGGGTCGCCACTTCTTGTGTTTATCTAATTCCCTCTTGAAACTGTCCATGCTTGTAGCCGCCACCATCTCCTGTGGCAGTGAATTCCATGTGTTAACCACTCTTTGGGTGAAGAAGTACTTTCTTTTATCTGTTCTAACCCAACTGCTCAACAATTTCATTGAGTGCCCACAAGTTCTCATATTGTGAGAAAGGGAGAAAAGTACTTCTTTCTCTACCTGCTCTAACCCATGCATAATCTTATAAACCTCAATCATGTCACCCCTCAGTCGTCGTTTCTCCAAGCTAAAGAGCCCTAAGTGCTTTAACCTTTCCTCATAGGGAAAGTGTTCCAACCCTTTTATCTTTTGAGTTGCCCTTTTCTGCACTTTTTCCAAAGCTATAATATCCTTTTTAAGGTGTGGTGCCCAGAACTGCACACAGTATTCCAAATGAGGTCTCACCATTGATTTATATAGGGGCATTATGATATTGGCTGATCTGTTTTCAATACCCTTCCTAATAATCCCCAGCATAGCATTGGCCTTTTTTATTGCAGTCACACACTGTCTTGACATTTTCAGTGAGTTATCTACTACAACTCCAAGATCTCTCTCTTGATCAGTCTCTGCCAGTTCAGACCCCATCAATGTGCATTTATATTTAGGATTTGTGGCTCCAATGTGCATCACCTTGCACTTGGCCACATTGAACCCCATTTGCCATGTTGACGCCCACTCGCCCATCCTTGACAGATCCCCTTGGAGTGCCTCACAATCCTCACTGGTTTTCACCACCCTGAACAACTTTGTATCATCCGCAAATTTAGCCACTTCACTGCTTACTCCCATCTCCAAATCATTAATGAACAAGTTAAAAAGCAGTGGACCAAGTACTGATCCCTGCGGTACCCCACTGCTTACCACCCTCCACTGAGAAAATTGCCCACCTACACTCACTCTCTGTTTTCTATGAACTAGCCAGTTTTTGATCCATAAAAGGACTTGTCCTTCTATCCCATGATTTTTGAGCTTACTTAGGAGCCTTTGATGAGGAACTTTATCAAAAGCTTTCTGGAAGTCAAGGTAAATAATATCTATTGGATCCCCCTTGTCCACATGTTTGTTCACCCCCTCAAAGAACACTAACAGGTTAGTGAGACAAGATCTTCCCTTACAGAAACCGTGCTGAGTCTGCCTCAATAGGTTTTGTTCATCTATGTGCCTACTAATTCTTTCCTTAATAATGGTTTCCACCAATTTACCCGGAATCGACGTCAGACTGACTGGCCTGTAATTTCCCGGATCTCCTCTGGAACCCTTTTTAAAGATGGGAGTGACATTAGCTACCTTCCAATCCTCAGGAATGGAGGCAGATTTTAAGGAAAGATTACATATCTTTGTCAGGAGATCTACAAGTTCACATTTGAGTTCTTTCAGAACTCTCGGATGTATGCCATCTGGGCCTGGTGATTTTTCAGTTTTTAAGTTGTCTATCAGTTTTAGGACCTCCTCTCTCATCACCTCAATCTGACTCAGGTCTTCCAACACCCCTCCTGAAATCAGTGGTTCTGGAGTGGGCAAGCACTTCTCATCTTCCACAGTGAAGACGGAGGCAAAAAATGCATTTAGCTTCTCAGCCATTTCCCTATCATCCTTCAATACTCCTTTTACCCCTTGGTCGTCCAAGGGCCCCACTGCCTCCCTGGCTGGTTTCCTGTTTCTAATGTATTTGAAGAAAGTTTTATTGTTGGTTTTTACGTTTTTTGCTATATGCTCCTCATATTCCCTTTTTGCCTGCCTGACCTCAGACTTGCATTTTATTTGCCATAGCCTGTGTTCCGTTTTATCAGCCTCACTGTGACTAGCTTTCCACTGCTTAAAGGAATTCTTTTTACTTTTTACAGCCTCCATTACTCTGTTTGTTAACCATGCAGGCTTTTTCCTATACCTGTTTGTGCCTTTCCTAACCTGCGGAATATATATTTTTTGAGCTTCTAGGATCGTAGTTTTAAATAGATCCCAAGCTTCCCCAATTGTTTTGACCCTTTCTACTTTTCCTTTCAGTTTCCTCCCCACGTGTCCCCTCATATCAGAGAAATTACCCCTTTTAAAGTTAAAAATGGTTGTGTGAGTCTTTTTGGCCAATTCTCTATTTGTACAAATGATGAACTCAACAACACCCCCCCCCACACACACACCAAGTATTCCAACTCCCCAATTTTACCTCGGACACTTATAGCATTTGTATATGAACACCTATAATTTCATATATATGTTAAGCCTGCAACCTTCCTCTTGCTGCCTCGAGACCTTGCCAGGCAGTCCATATCGTTAGCCACAGTCTCAGTGGACAATTCTAATCCATTTCCTTGTAGAAAAGTAACAGCTACCCCTTCATCTCTTTGAGATGAGCCATCCTGAACCAGGGACTTTTAATCACCTGTCAGCTTTCCCCCAATATTCAGTTTAAAAACTGCTCTGCCACCTTTTTTATTTTTAGTGCCAGCAGCTTGGTTCCTTCTTGGGACAAGCAGAGACCTTCTCTTTTGTACAGCTCCCTCTTGTTCCAAAAAGAATCCCAGTGCCTAACAAACTTGAACCCTTTCCCCCTACACCATTGTCTCATCCACGCATTGAGATTCCTGATCTGTGCCTGTCTCTCCGGCCCTGCGCGTGGAACAGGTAGCACTTCTGAGAAGGCTGCCTTGGAGGTTCTGGCCTTGAGTTTCCTGCCTAGCAGCCTAAATTTTTCCTCCAGGACCTCTTGACTGCATTTCCCCACATTGCTGGTGCCCACATGTACCACGACCACTGGCTTCTCCCCAGCACTATCTACCAGCCTATCTAGAACATGTGTAATGTCCACTGCCTTTGCACCAGGCAGGCAAGTCACCATACGAACAGTATGCGGGTTCGCCACCCAGCTGTCTACCTCCCTAAGGATCAAATCACCAACTACCAAGAGCCCCCCCTCCCGCCAAGGGATGGTTCCTTGGTGCAAAAGGATACCCTTTTACCAGCTGGGGAAGAGGTCCTTTCTGAGGGCACATTCCCCTTATCCACAGCACAGTGCCCTGTCTCCTCTCAACCTTCATGCTTCCTGACAGCGGCAGGGCTGCCATGTTCAGATTGGGACATATCTAACAAGTCCCTGTCTGTAAAGGGAGAAAATGAAGCGGAAGTAGCTGACATAAATATGGGTATAGATCTTCTGTGAGGGTAACTGAACACTGTAATAGAAATAGTCACTTGTGGCAAAAGGTGAGTTTGGGGGGTCTTTGATTAATGAATGCCATTTCTAGAGACTCCTTTTCTTTTCAGGATTGCCCAAAGCTGGCCTTTTTACCTCCAGACAGCGTGATTGTGACCAGTCTAGTTCTGCTTCTTCCCTTCAGTCTGTACCTTTTGTTCTGGGGTGGTCAGATGTGTTTTCATTTGAATTGAAGTCAAACCTGAAAGGTCTCAGGCACCAACATGAAGGGGTGGGATGCAGGCAGTGTGGTAACATTAAGTACCTCAAGAGTGTCACTTGGAAGCTGGAGCGGAGTCACAGTGATGCAACTTTCCTAATTACTAAAGCTGGACTGAAAAAATAGCTTCCTTGCAATCACTTTTATACAGGGCTCAACAAAACTTTGGGTGCCAGGAGCCCCAATGCCTCCTTCTGGCCCTTCCAGGCACCAGCAGCCTGCTGGCTGGGCTGTAGCTGCTGGATCATCTGGCTCTTGAAACAGCCTTCAGAGGCAGGCTGAAGCTACTTGATCAATCAGCCCTGAGGTCCTGAAAGCCATGCCTAGTCTTTGAGGCTGGGCTTCTGAGGCTTGAGAGCTGACCTAATTTAGTGTCTGGATTTTTTTGTTTCTATGCTAACCTCAGAACTGGTACATTGTGAACTTACCTTACTCTCTTAATGTTTTATAGGGACATCACGGCTCTGCGAACCCGAATGACTTCAAGCTCACCAACTCAAGATAATTTTTTTCAGTTCAAGCATTATGTCTTCATTTTGCTCATGATTCTCCTGCAGCTTATCATTAATTACTGGTTTAAATAGAATGCCTGGGTAGAAGAATACATAGGATGGGAATGATTATACTCTTCTGGGACCATATTTTAAGCTTGGATTGACTTCAAATTATGCAATATTATCCAAAAGAGAAAAGACCAGAGAGTAAGATTTAGGCCTTTGTTTTAAACAGTTGTGCTCACATGGAGCAACATCTGTTAATATTCCGTCCTAGCCAGATAACATGGACAATACATATGTGCCAGTAATTTACTCTTTGTGACTGTCAAATGCCGGATACCTGCCTTGCATATTGCAGTATGTTGTATGCTACAGTGATATACACCAGTGCAGAAACTGTCAGATTGGTAATTCAAAGACATCCCCACCAGTGATGTTGACAACACTAAGTTTAATAGAAACTGTGATGCCGGTTCATTAGGAAATGTGTGGTGATGTCAACTTGAGCTATTCAGTCTTAGAGAGAATAATTTTTTCAGCTGGTCATTGCCATTAAAAGGCAGTAGATTACCAGTCCTGTCAGCGTTTCAGAAATCCTGTGACATTTCAGTAACTTGCTCCTTAGCTGTGGTTATCCTTTATGAAAATTAACTTCTGTTGGTAGTACTAACTGGTTCAGAAGATGCAACAAAATGACAGTTTGGAAAAGCTTGCTGATAGGTTTGTGAGCCCAGTAGCACTTTTATCCACTTCTTTCTAAACATCAGTTCCTCATGACAAATTTAAAACTTTTTTAAAAAATCTGGACTCTTCAGAGACAGTTTACAATTAAATGTAGGGACATAGATGTAGTGGCTTCAGTTTGGGTGGAGCAAGGATAAGCTCTGTTGGGTGACAAGAGTTTCTGGATAGTACATGAAACTCTTGCTAACTTTAAACAGCTTTATACATTCAATATGAACAAGGGGCTTACCAGGCCACTGTCAGCCATATGAAGGTAATTATTTCTTTATTGCTGTGCTTTTAATATACAGCTTAACTTCAGGAACGGCTTCCAGTGGCAGTTAGTTTGCCACTGCATGCCCAGTTACTAACAATTGCTTTGACTTGTCTGAGGTCATAACAAACCAGCTTGTTCTTAAGAGGCGGAAATACAGATTTGCTGTTATAGACACTTCTGTAACTGAAAACACATCTTAGGAAATCCAACTGGATTGTTTAAAAAATTAAATTCCAAAAAACAAATCAGTGTAAACCCAAGTGCTATTCCTACTACCTTGTTTGTCCACATGGTATATATATTAATTTTTGATGCATGGCGAATAACAGGTAGTTCATATTTGTTATTCATGTACTTGCATAGTGTATATAATCCTTCTCACTAAAATGTGTATGTTGTACAGTTGGTCAGTTTAAAATCAAATCATTTTACCTAAAGTGGAGTATATAGCAATAGAAATAATAATGTAGTTAGAGGTGTCTTTCTTGATTCATATTTGCCTATTCAAGCCTGTCTTCTAATCTTACCTGTTTATACTGCCTTGTAGATGTCTTGCCAAAACTTTCTCTTTAAGGATCATCTGTAAATACACAAAGCAACTGACTTTCAACATGGCAGGCTATGATGGGGTTTCCAAGGTGCCATGCAAGCAGAGATTTAACATGGTTGTACATTTCAATCGATGCAGCCATGATCCAGATGCTTTGCAGAGGGGCTGAGATACTGTCCATACTTGATGATATATTGATGGGGGAAAAGAGGATAGCATATTGAGTTAGCAAAAGATTTGGGCAACATTAGCACCAACAGATAGCTAGCTATAAGATGAACAGATTTGTCTTTCAATTTCATACTGATTTGTAAAGACTTGGAAAATTGGCAGTACATACTGAAAAAACCATTGGTCAAAACTGTTACATTTTACTTTCCTGCAAAAGACTGTGACCCCCTTTGCAAATGTAGAGGCACACTGTGTTCTCTTTCTGCCTGCTTGCTCATATGTTTTACTTAATTCTTGTATGAGATGGAGCTCCAAAATGTATTCAGTTGCTTTCTTCTTTCAGGTGTTTCTATTTTAGGAAGCTTTTTAGTCACAGTTAAATCACAGCAGTCTAATCTAGTCCTGTTTCAAATACAGAAAAGCACAGCTCTTAAAAGCCTGAATTCCTACTTTGCTCCTTTATATTAATTCCTCATGTGAGCAGAAAAAAGGAATTTATTGCCTGAGTACTTTTTATATGATTGATTGTGGGTCTAGTTTATGAAATGTTTCTTCATATATGATATTTAGCCATGTGTATATGATCTTAAATTCTTTCAGGTAGACTGTTTTCCACATATAGATGTCTAAAAAATAAAACTGTGACTGTACAGTTCATAGGATTTTGAGGGAGGTAGCTTCCCTGCTGACTCTTCGCATTTAAAACCAAGCACTTGCTTTCTCACTTTTATTTTTTGTTCTTCCTTGTACATAAATAGAAAATACTCATAACTGCTTGTTGTTGCCATGTTTATGGCTATATATTTAAAATAAATGCACTATAAGCCTTTAATATGCCATGTAACCATTAACCTATCTAAAATTCAAGTTAATTTAAGTATGTTGTGTGTGAAGAAGAAACTAGACTTCTGGCAATACATAATGTTTCTTGTATTCCGTACGTTGGTTTAATTCAACTGTTAGAGATCCCTTATAAGGGTACAGCATGCTTGCTTTTTTATTAAAGGTTCGTTCTGACAGCGTACCTGTACAATGAATCAAATACTTTAACACTTCACTGCCCTCCTGTGCCTTTGGAAAAATCTTCTTGCCAATTCAAAGTTAATGAAATAAAATGAGAATTAAATACGTTTGTCTTGTCTACCTTGATAGTAGCCTTTTGCTTTTCAAGGCTCTTGCTCCTTCGTGCTTTTTATCCTGTTGTAAATAAAACACCTAACTGCTGTACTCTTATAAGAGTGACTACTGTGTTTCAACTTGTACTCTCGGTTCTGGGGTGTCTTTGAAGAGTAGGCCATCAGATACTTGAGTATTGTAACAGTGCCTTGATGGAGCTCACACAGGAGGTGTGTGTATATATAAAGATGCTGTCAAGCTTGTGCCATATCTGTTCATCAACCTCCGTGGAAACTGTTATTTCCAATATTATCAGTTAAACCTTTCCAAAAAGATGTGGTAGGGTGTCCCCCCCCCCCAGTAATTAGTAATGGCTGAATCCAACATGATCTCCAAATTATGGAGTGTGTATTTTTGTATAGTGAAGCTGCAATGCTTTGTTTGTGATACTACAGAAATAGCCATAATAAAACCATAACATCACAGACAGATTATTTTGGCTTCACTTTGTTTTCTGTAAGAAAATCAATTGTGAACAAACGTGTGTGTGGGATGAGGGGAGAAGAATGACTCTGAAGAGTGAAAGACAGTAAGGTAGTTCAACGACTGCTGAAACTTGGGGAAATTATTACTTCTACCCTAATCAAATAGCTTCCTTGAACCAAGAAGCACATTTAAGGAGTTTAAAATTTCTATGCTTTGGCTAAAACTTGGAAACCACTTTTTAAAATGTATAGCCTTCCACTATTCTTGAACTCCACATTATTGAATTTCACACAGTTCCCTCAAATGTATTTTTATCCTCCCCCCTTCCTTTTTTAAAAACTTTTGCTTGGAGTTTTGTACTGTTACATATTTTTTAACTGAAAATGGGCTGTTGTACTAAAACTGTACAGGACCAGTGTTCAATGCATACAATATATGTAAAAGTCAGAAGTTAAGACATAAGATGAATGTGAATGCACTTATTTAAATATATGTTGGAAAACTGATTCCTGTAAGTTTTATGTCTGCATATCATGTAAAATAGCATTGACCGTCACATTATTGCACTGTGGTGTGTTTTTGTTTGTTTAAATCATGCTGCCTGCAGTATGATAAGAAAAACCAGTAATTTATTTGAAAGAACTGGAAATTGTGTGTCGCATGCATAATTGTACAGTTGAGTCAACAACTTAACTAAAAGGCCATTTGTAAATTAAAGTAGTACCACTGGTCATAGTTTTGTACAATAAAAAAACCAGAATAAAAGAGCTGTGATTAAAAACAGTATGCTGAGTTTTTTATCAGAAATCGTTAAATGTAAAACATGTTGTTAGTTTCCCCCACAATATTCTGTCTTGCCTTTTCCTCTGTAGTATAACTTTATTGCCTTTGATTCCTTCACATTTGTACAAAACTCTTCTGATGGGCTAGTCAGGTTGCATGTTGTACTACTCATATCACCTATTCTCTGTTTCCTATTCTAATACCAAACTTTTTGGCCATGTAACTCCAGACATGTTGGCTCTCCTGATTTTTGGCCATTGTGTGACAGAGTGTTGGACTGGATGGGCCAATGGCCTGATGCAGCATTGGCTTCTCTTGTGTTCTTATGTTGACCTCCCCTACATTTAGTCTTGCTTCAATTCTTTCCACTTCATTTTTGTTCTGCTTGCCATTCTACTCATTTGCACAAATTCATCTTCCCTAACAAAATCATCCCTCCCTACCTTGTAAGAGGGCCCGCAATGCCTCAAGATGTGTGGAAATGTAAAGCTGTGATTAGAATTTCACTCCACCGTGGGCAACTGAACAATGACATGTCTGAAAGTAGACTGATTCCATTTTTAAAAGAACCATGGAATGTGTTAAGTAACATAACCAATTCTGATAGATGCAAGCTTGGACAGTGCTCTTTCTGCCTGTTCTTCCTTCATTGGAAATTAAACTGACACAATAAACTGCATCTTCCAGGGATGCTCTACGGCTACTACTAGAGTTACCAACCTCCAGGTGGAGCCTAGACTTCTTCCAGAATTACAACTGATCTCCAGACTATAACGATCACTTCGTCCGAAGGAAATGGCTGCCTTGGAGAATAGCCTCCATGGAATAACATTCCTCATGCTGAGCTCTCTCTCCAAGCTGCCCTGTCACCAAGTCTCCAGGAATTTCCCAAGCAGGAAGTGGCAACCCTAATTATTACTGTGACTTGTCATAGCTTAAGTGGCATGGTATCACATATAAAAGAATAAAAAGCAGGTGTTCCTGAAACCAGTTAACACAATAAGGGCAAATTTAAAATGAGATTTTTTTTAATGTCCAAACTTTCCTGCGTATTCTTCCCAAGGTTTAGCACAACAGACCACTGGTGCACCTAGCAGTTAGAAATTTGCTGCTGTTCAAGGATGAGAGTTTTCCAACTAAGATTATAACAGGTCTCCACTGCAGCTCCCATCCCCCCTTGCTACTTTATGCATCTGACTGGGGCCTGGAGACCAGCCGAAGGCCAGACCCAAGAACAGAAACAGGCCCCTACCCCACGGCCCCACCCCCATGGCCTCTGGGGCTGCTGCAGTGGGGGTGCAGGGACCGGGCAGGGCGTGGGTGGTGGTGGGTGGATACTGTGGCGGTGCCCCCCCCGACTTCCTCCTCCCGCTGGAGACCGGGGGGGGAGAGAGGGAGACCCCCTCCTCCAGCCAGATGACTCCCGAGGCCAGGGGAGAAGCCGAGCTCTCATTTTGGAGGGAGGGAGGGGACCCCACGCTCCACCCCCTTCGTGCATCGGGCTGAGCCTGACTGAAGAAATGTTCAGAGGTGACAGCGCCCGCAGCCTCCCAGTCCTCACAGGGCATTTCTTCCACCAACCCGTACCTCCAAGCACCTCTCCCCCGCCTCCACCAACCTCTCCTCGACTCTGCGGGGCTCGGTGGCGGCAGTGGCACCTGAATTATGTGGCCAACCCTCCCCACACGTGGTACACCACCGGCAGCTGCCCTCCCCGTGCCGCCAGCGGCTGGGAGGCAAAGGGCAGAGCAGCTGGTTGGGAAAGCAAAAGCCTCCGGGTCAGTCATGCTGCACCAGCCGCCCAGGCACCCTCCACACTGCCTTCAGTAGAGGAAGGGGGTGGAATGGAGCGGGGGAGGGGGAATGGTCGCCAGATCGCCTGGGGTCTCCTTCACGGCCTCCGCCTTGGGGGGCTCCAGTGTGTGTGAGGGGGGGCGCTTCTTCACCAGGATGGGGCAGAGGGGTCGTTACCATTCTCTTTTCTCTCTCCTTCCCGCCTCCCCCCTCCCAGCCAGCCCCGTGCAGACTGAGATTCCTCACCGCTGAGGCGTGCTCGGGTCAGGGGCTTTGCCAGGGACTTCCAGCCGAGCCTCTTTCGCCAAAGTTGGGGCGGCGAGAGCACCAAGGAGGCGGGCGGGGGGAGGGCCAGTCCCCGCCTGAAGCAACAAGGAGCTGCCCGAGCCCAGCAGAGGGAGAGATGATGGATGCGCCTCCTCGCCGCTGCGCTGGAGTGCAATGCGCCTCTCTGCTGTCCTGGGACTACAGGCAAGCAGAGCGTGGGACATGCTTGCTGGACTCGGGGAGAAACAGGTGGCGGCAGTCAGGGAGATGCAGGGCTTTTGGTGGGGGCTTTGGCGGGGGGCCTGGGTCCAGTTTGGCGCCCTAAGGGCTGGCCCGCGCTCTAGGCGATTGCCTAGTTCACCTAGCGGGTGAACCGGCCCTGCCCACAACAGACAAGTAAGGCCATTCTAGCTTGTGCAATGCTTTGGTCCTAGCAACAGAATTGTCTGAAGTTGCTGTGGGATCATATCTGCATACTTTTACTATGGCGTATGGAGGAAAGCACCTGCCATCATGAGACGCCAGCGTTCAAACCCCACCACCACCAAGCCCCCCTCCCACCCTCAAGCGTCGCTCTAGTCTCAGACGCTCCATGGTCACCATGGCAACAAAGCATCACTTCCGGAGAAGTACTAAAACTTCTGCCTGGATTCAAGAATGCAGAGAGAAATTAGAAAGAAGTGCTCGTCCAGGCGTGTGCTGCAAAGATCTTGGTATATATCACAAGATTGTGATACTAACCATTCAAAAGTGGTAAAAGATACTCGGAGATGCTTGGGCTTGTGGCTGAGAGTTCTTTCTTTTTAAAGGAAAGCACTGATTTCATTTAAACAGCACTAATGGGTATGGCTGCCTGTATGCAGCAAGGAAGGCTGGATATAGTCCTTGTGTTCTAGTTACAGCGTCGGGCTGTGCCCTTCAAATGTCATGTGCCGGGCTAGGCAGAAATTCGACAGGGTGATGCAATTCTCATTTGTGTAACTCCGTGGGACAAGGTTGGACCTGCTGAATTTTTGCCTGCATTCTGTCCCTGTCCCCCCACCCCCATAGCTTGTTTTACTGTTTACATAAATAATGTTTTCAAAACATTGCAACATAAGGGCTTCTGGAGCTCAAGCTTTTAATATGCATAAATGCAGGAAAATTTAAAACAGTAGTCCAGTGGCCCCTTAAAAAGACTAACATTTATTACAGCATAAGATTTCCTAAATCACAGCTCACTTCAAAATAAAGTATGCTAATCTTGTGTTTCATTTTGCTGCTACTGAATACAATAGCTGTGGCAGCTGGAATCTTCAGAAATACAGGAAATATTTCCCCATGTGTTGAATTTCTGCCTATCAACTGACTTTGGTAGACACAAGTGCCCACTTGGAAAGCGTGATATTTGTGTAGACCTCTCTGTTAACCAAAAGTGAGGTTATTTCAAAGTGCTGTAACTAAAGGGAGCTGCCTGTTTGACTAGAGTTTTTACATCTGTTTCTACTCACTGCAGCTGTTCTTTTCCCAAACTTGGAGGATTCTACACACTGCAGTCAGAAACCAGAAATAGTATTAGAAAACTTTGTAGATCATAGCCCCTTCAGAGCCAAAGTGCTGCTCTTGTTCTTGTTGGTTAGCTGTTACTTATTTCTGAGTGGTTGTGCAATTAGCCCAATAGTAGGAGTTACTTGCATCACAGTGCTGACATCTAGAGGAGGAAGTAGGAGGAAGGACTTGGCTGAGGTAATAACAAAACAGAACAGTGGCATCTTAAAAACTAAAATTTTATTCCAGTGTAAGCTTTTCACTTCATTAGATGTACGAAGTGTATATCATTAGGCAGGTACTTGTATACTAAAATGAAAACAACAAAAAGGGGGAGGTGCAAAGAGAGGGCAGTCAAAAGAGCCATCCATCCACTCAGCTGGCTGTCCACTGGAGAAAAGAGTGGTGTATAAAAAAATGAAGCAACAAGTTACAGGAAGGTAGATTTTGGCTGAAGATTAACTAGCAGTCAAAACAGACTAACAAAGGAACAAATTACCTTGGAGGACTGGTAAGTTCCCTTATTGGAGGTTTTTGAGGAGAAGTCATCTGGTGAGAATGCTGTAGCTTTGGATTTCCTGCAGGGAGCCAAGGGTTTGGGCTTGCAGTTCTATGACTCTGCTCTGCCACTCCCCAGCAGTTACCTCCTCCAAACTGTTTTCCCCCATGACATGGCAGACTCTTCTGGAAACCAGCTGCTAAGGGGGGAAAACACTGGAGGGAAGAGGTGCAAGTAAAAAGTGGGCAAGGAAATCACTCCTTACCACTTCTCTTCTACAAAGTGTGTTCCCCACGCCTAGCATTCTGCAGCTTCTGCGTAGCAATGTGGGACAGTGCAGACTCTCTTGGGGGGGATGAGTCAGAAAATAAAAAATAAGATTTCTCACCCAATGAGGCTGCAATATCTTCTACATATGCAGGTTACTATGTGATGGGCCTTATTGTTTCAAGCTCCAGAGCTCTAGAGGGGGTGTTTTGCTCAGAGACCACTGTGTATTTATGATTGTGCAGGGCTAATTGGAACAAGATCTAGCCACCGTCTTCTTTCTGATTTAGATGCAGAATTTGTCAAAAGTGCTGCAAGTCAGTATCAGGCTTCAGACGTTTGAGCTAGTTCCAAACAGATGATTTGCTCCAGCTATCATACTGCCCCAAGGTTTGTCAGCGCATCCAGACAATGTCATCCTCTTCCTCATGTTCCCCTAACATGATTTCTCCTCTTATGCTCAGTGTTTCCAGAACCTGCATTTATCCAATGTTTTTGGGAACACCGGAGTCAAATTGAGGTTTCGTAAAGCATGGATGGGTTGATATGGATTTCTGCCCCTTCCTGATCGCATCCAACACCCTTTTTCCTCCCCATTCTTTCATGCCCACCAACTTCCCTCCCTTTA